ATGGACATGGGGAATCAGGGGTGGAAAGGAGGAGCGTGCTGTCACAGTATAAGGAGAGCAGTTAGGGTCACATTACAATGTGTGTGTAAATTTTTGTATGAGAGACTAACTTGAGTTATAAACTTTCACTTAAGTACAACAATAAAATAAAAAAAGTACCTTGTCATACTGCACGCACACATACACGCACACACGTGTGTGTATAAAACAAAATATCTGCAAGTTTTGTAGACTAAAAACTACAATAACACTGAGAAGTCAACATAGTGCAACACTGTAGAAAATAGAATAGAGAGAGTGAGACTGGTGACATAGATTTTTAAAGATGCTTTTGTAATATTGTGGGCATTATTTAATATAGTGATAAGTTCAAGAAGTATTTGGAAGTAAAATGACTGGAAATAGATAATCATATGCATTCAGAAAGTAAGCAAGAAGGAGTAGTTTAGGCTGACTCCTAAGTTTTTTAACTGTTATTGTAACTTTACTGATAGCTTCAACTATATTAATTCAGAAACAGTAATTTTTTCATTTAGCTAAATTTTATTTTGCATTACAGAAAATGGCAAGATGACCATTCAAGAATTTATGTCTAAGGTCTCTAATACATTGACAATTCCTAATGATGCAGGTGAGTTTTATTTAATATGAATCTACTGCTTACCTTGGAAAGACTAACAGTGGCTTACATGTTAAAGCACAATGCAGGGAAACCACAGGTAAGTAAGAAACAATATGAAGATGAAAAAAATACAAGACTAGATTTTATAGCTTTGTTTGAGTATAAGGCAAAGACTATTAAGCTTAACACACACTCAGAGTTGTAGGTAATTTTAACTTTATAGCACTAGAAAGTTACTATATTATGTATTGTTCTTCGTGATTATTAAGTATACATATTTGGCTTCTAAATTTATTTTTCAGAAGATTATGAATGATTAGAAAATAATTTTTAAAAATTTGACAAAACTAGTGTAGTGGACTGTATAACTATCTCTTCTGTCTCATGTCTAATCTATCTTCAACTGCTCTCTCCCAACTACTTTTTTTTTTCTTTTTCAAATTTAGGTTTACTGAGACATAATTTACATACAATAAAATTAACCCTTTTTAGGTATATAGTCCTATGAATTCTGAAAAATAAAGTTGTGTAACTATCAGCATGACAACACATAGCACCCTATAGGACAGAGTAGAAGTGCCCCATAGGGTTTCCAAGGAGTGGCTGGTGAATTCGAACTGCTGACCTTTTGGTTAGCAGCCAAGTTCTTAGCCACCATGCCACCAGGGCTGCAGAATATCTCTATCACTCCTAAAAGTTCTCTTGTGGTCTTTTCTAGTCTACTCCCTCCCCTAGCCATCAACCTCTGGTGACCACTGATCTGTTCTTTGTCCTTATAGTTATATACATGCCCCTTCAGGGTGAGGAATTTTCTTCTATTACTACCTTGCTTAGAGGTGTTAACATGTTCAAGTGAATCAGGGATGTTGAAGTGTATCAGGGGCTCGTTCTGCCTTTCTTGAGATGACGCTATGATTTTTCTTCCTTAGTCTGTTGATACAGTGGATTGATTGATTTTTTTTATATGCGAATTTTTTTTTTGTTCATTTTGTTGTTGTTGTTAGGTGCTGTGGAGTTGGTTCTGACTCATAACGACCCTATGTAAAACAGAACAAAACACCACCCGGTCCTGCGCCATTCTCACAGTCGTTGTTATGCTTGAGCCCATTGTTGCAGCCACTGTGTCATTCCATCTCGTTGAGGGTCTTCCTCTTTTTCGCTGACCCTCTACTTTACCAAGCATGATGTCTTTCTCCAGGGACTGATCTCTCACAATAACATGGCCAAACTATGTGAGACATAGTCTCGCCATCCTTGCTTCTAAGGCGCATTCTGGCTATACTTTTTCCAAGACAGATTGTTCATTCTTCTGGCAGTCCATGGTATGTTCAATATTCTTCACCAACACCATAATTCAAAGGCATCAATTCTTCTTTGGTCTTCCTTATTCATTGTCCAGCTTTTGCATGTATGTGAGGTGATTGAAAACAATATGACTTGGATCAGGAGCACCTTGGTCTTCAAGGTGACATCTTTGCTTTTTAACACTTTAAAGAGGTCTTTTGCAGCAGATTTGTCCAATACAGTGCATTGTTTGATTTCTTCTTTTTTTTAATTAATTTTTTAAAATTGTACTTTAGATGAAAGTTTACAGAGCAAACCAGTTCTCATTAAACAATACACATATTGTTTTGTGACATTGGTTGCCAACCCCACAACATGTCAACACTCTCCCTTTTTCCGTGTTGGGTTTCCCATTACTAGCTTTCCTGTCCCCTCCTGCCTTCTCGTCCTTGCCCTTGGGCTGCTGTGCCCATTTAGTCTTATTTTGTTTTATGGGCCTGTCTAATCTTTGGCTGAAGATTGTGGACCTCAGGAGTGACTTCAGTACTGAGTTAAAAGGGTGTCCGGGGCCATACTCTTCGAGGTTTCTCCAGTCTCTTGTCAGACCAGTAAGTCTGGATTTTTTTTGTGTGTGTGAGTTAGAATTTTGTTCTACATTTTTCTCCAGCTCCGTCTGGGACCCTCCATTGTGATCTCTGTCAGAGCAGTTGGTGGTGGTAGCCGGACTGTCTAGTTGTGCTGGACTTAGTCTGGTGGAGGCTGTGGTAGTTGTGGTCCAGTCTTTCCCTTGTGTCTTTGGTTTTCTTCATTATCCTTTGCTCCAGGCAGGGTGGGACCAGTGGAGTATCTTATATGGCTGCTCACACTTTTTTAAGACTCCAGGCGCTACTCACCAAAGTAGGATGTAGAACATTTTCTTTATAAACTCTGTTATGCCAATTGAGCTAGATGTTCCCCGAGACCATGGTCCCCACAGCCCTCAGCCCAGTAATTCGGTCCCTCAGGGAGTTTGGATGTGTCTATGGAGTTTCCATGACCTTGCCTTGGATAAGTTGTGTTGGCTGCCCCAGTATTGTGTACTGTCTTACCTTTTATCAAAGTTACCACTATTGTCTGTTTAGTGTTTTTCTGTTCTTCCCCTCCTCTCCCCTCCCTCGTAACCATCAAAGAGTGTTTCTTTTTGTGTGTAAACTTTTTCATGAGTTTTTATGGTCTCATACAATATTTGTCCTTTTGTGCTTGACGTATTTCACTTAGCATAATGCCCTCCAGATTCATCCAAGTTGTGAGATGCTTCACAGATTCATCACTGTTGTTTATAGTTGCATACTATTCCATTGTGTGTATGTACCATAGTTTGTTTATCCATTCATCTGCTGATGGGCACCTAGGTTGTTTCCATGTTTTTGCTATTGTGAATAATGCTGCAGTGAACTTGGGTGTGCATATGTCTTTTCGTGTGACAGCTCTTACTTTTCTAGAATATATTCCTAGGAGTGGGATTGGTGGATCATATGGTATTTCTATGTCTAGCTTTCTAAGGAAGCACCATATTGTTTTCCAAAATGTTTTTACCATTTTGTGTTCCCACCAGCAGTGTGTAAGAGTTCCAATCTCCCCACAGTCTCTCCAACATTTCTTATTTTCTGTTTTGATTTGTGCCAGTAATGTCAGGGTGAAATTGTATTTCATTGTGGTTTTGATTTGCATTTCTCTAATGGTTAGCATGAAACCCTGGTGATGTAGTGGTAAAAAGCTACGGCTGCTAACCAAAACATAGGGAGTTCAAATTCAGCAGGCACTCCTTGGAAACCCTGTGGGGCAATTCTACTCTGTCCTGTAGGGTCGCTATGAGTTGGACTTGACTCGACGGCAATGGTTTAGTTTTTTTCGAGTCTAATTGACAAGGTTTGCCTCTAG